AGAACATTGAACAGGTGCAAGAGAACTTGGAGAGGTGGAGGTATGCACTTGAAAGAAGAGGAAAGAAAGTCAGCCGTAGTAAGACAGTGTGTGTGTGAATGAGAGGGAGGCCGGTGGAACAGTGAGGCTACAAGGAGCAGAGGTCACAAAGGTGCAGGACTTCAAGTACTTGGGGTCCACTGTCCAGGAACATGAGGAATGTGGTAAAGAAGTGAAAAAGAGAGTCCAGGCAGGATGGAGTGGATGGAGAAAAGTTTCAGAAGTGATTTGTGACAAAAGGGTGTCGGCAAAGGTCGTTGGAAAAGTTTACAAGACAGTGGTGAGACCAGCTGTGTTGTATGGTCTGGAGACAGTGGCATTGACAAAAAGACAGGAGAAAGAACTGGAAGTGGCAGAAATGAAGATGTTGAGGTTCTCCTTAGGAGTGACAAGGGTGGATAAGATTTGGAACGAGATCATCAGAGGTACAGCACATGTTAAACAACTGGGAGATAAAGTGAGAGAGGCCAGACTGAGATGGTTTGGACATGTCCAGAGGGACAGTGGGTATACTGGTAGAAGGATGTTAGAAATGCTTCTGCCAGGAAAAAGACAGAGGAGATACATGGATGCACTTAGAGAAGTCATGGAGGTAGATGGAGTGAGGACGGAGTGAGATGGAGGAGGATGACTCACTGTGGTGACCTCTGAAGAGGGAAAAGCTGAAAGAAGACATAAATGTAACACCACCTGCCTCAGGCTGTTACATCTGAAGGTGTAAAACGGCAACTTCATGAAACAAACGGAAAGTTTTTAAAAAAACAGGACATTGTTCAAAGTAACTTTCAATCTAAACCAAGAGCCACAAGACACACGTCTCTCAGCAGTTATTGTTTGTTTTAGACACATTAGCATTTATTTGTGCCTCGGTATCAAACCTAAACTGAAGCTTCAGAAAACGGATACTTTTCTAATATATTTACCGTTTCAGCAGCTTTGGGCTTTTTATGTTCTTGTCACCTTCTTTACCTTCATTCAAATGGTAAAGTTTTAAGGCTGTGTTTGTCGTTAAGTTTTCGGGCATTCTGGCAAAACTTCAGTGCCTTTTTTATTTGACATGTTTTACTTTGGCTGCTTTTCAACTCATTTTGGTCTGTCACTTTTTTTCAGTTCAACAAAGAAATGGGGAAATAAATTTTGTGACAGACTGTTAGACTAAAGATTTTATTTAAAATAGTTTTGTTTCCAACTCGTCTATGTGCCGACTCAACACCGGTTCATTCTTAAAGTTTAGCAGCCTTTTTTATGCCTGAATGATTTGTCGAACAACAACTCAAAACCTTTCCCTAAAAATGAACAGTTCTGGACTACAAATGAGTGAAGAAGAAGCTGAAGTTCACAGGATTTTAACGGAGTCCAAGAAAATCTGGCTCCTTGGAAGCAAAAAAATAAAGAACTGATGACCCAAGAATACTGAATGCTGTCCATGCTGCTGACTGATCCCGACTAATCACTGGAATAAAACTCAGAAACCAGGTCAGTTTGAACACCAGACATGGAGATGTAGCCAAGGAGCAAAACGAAGCGTGACGAGGAGGACATTGACACCATTTCTTCCTTCAGTCTTCGCATGGAAAAGGGGAAAATGAGATATGAACTCTGACAAAAACACAGAAATGCAGCATTGTGTGTTTCAGCGACTCGTGGCTGCAGAGTCCGATCTCTGACCTGTCGCTCAAACTAACAAAGCAGGAGAGGCGGACAGTTTTTGTCAGCTTTAAAAAAGAAACCATCAAACAGTCTGGGTTGCTTTTAGTTGCTATGCTAATGCTGAAACCAGAAAAACATAGTAGCTAAAACATGTTTTTAATAAAAAATCAATGTAAATAAAACACTATGGATTTGTTTAGTGTTGAAGAAAGGCTAAAATCAGAGAATTTTCATTCAACTGGACTCATGTTCAAATACTCTTCTTACAGTAAAACATGCATCTTATTTCTAAGGTAAAGCTTAGATTGATTGTTTACTTTCTGTGTTAATTTCAAACATTGTTTTGATTTAAACCATAAAATAAAAAAAAAAGTTTAAACCAATATTTTATGCCACCATCCGGCAGATCAGATGATTTTTTTTCTTCTTACTATTAAGTGTTTGAAGCTCTGAACAGTTTACCTGCTACAAAAGGCAAAAGAACAATAATATATTGGCCTGTGCCTGTCTTTTAGCAAAATGTCTCGTAAATCAATGAGTGGATTTTAATGAAACTCTCAGTAGGTATTTATTAGATTTACGTCTACAATTGTTAAACTGTTGGGGTCATCTCAATTTAAGATGGCCGCCACAGCCAAACGGTTATTGGAAACACAAAAATTGCTATAGCTCAGCCAGTTTTACAGATATTGAGCTAAAATTTGGCATGGTAGTAGCTGAAAATCATCCTTAACTCATACGCTGAGTGCTAAAATATCACATGAAACCGAGTTTAAATAAATTTCAAGTTTTCACCAAAACTGCTTTAACTTTGACACTTTTAAACATAAAATCTTCTTAGTTAAAAACTCTAGCATGACAAGTTTTAAGTATTTGACGTAAGAAGACAAAAAGCCTGCAGAGATGCACTTTTTTAACTTATCAACAACTTTAGATGGTTTGAATTTGATGGATCAAACAGTTTACAAGAGAAGAGCTTCCACTAAATACAAAGAGGAACAGAAAACATCCAGAGCATTAATACAGCTCCTTTATTTTGCACAAGTTCACCTACAAGAATTTAAAGGGAACATTTTTATTCTAGGCGGGGTTTTGTAATAATAACTCCCATATTGTCAACAAACTGTAAAAATTATTCCTTAATGGAATGCATATCGCCCGCCACATTTAGGGCCAGAGTTTTAAACTAATATCATCTTCTGTTGACAAACTGTGTTATAGCCTTGTAATATCATGAGATGTAGTGTTCAGAGATGTGTTGTGAATGACTCTCAGCTACTACCACTTGAAATTAGCTCAATATCTGTAAGCTGAGTTAGAACTGTGTGTTGGTTTGTATCAATTAGCTGTACTGGCCATGTTGAATTAAAATGACTGTAAAAGTTACTCAGTTGTAGATATTCATTTAGAGTCAGAGTCAGAGTCAGAGTCAGAGTTTCTTTATTGTCATTCGCACCTCATGTGGTACATGTGGTGGAGCGAAATTATGTACGCAGGGTCCCAGTTACATCCAACAATAAAATGTATAAGAAAAACAGTAATAACATCTAAGATATGAACTAAGAAAAACATCAACTAAATATACACTAAGCACTCATAACATAAAACATTGAACATCACCACAAACATGAACATGAGTCTGTGAGCAGATGTGCACGCATGAACACATCAACATTGAAACAGATCAGCAGCAACATGAAACAGATCAGCAGCAACATGATATGGTTTTTCACAGTGATTATTCTAGTTAGAGATTCATGAGTCTAACAGCCTCAGGGTAGAAGCTGTTCCTCAGTCTAGTGGTTCTACACTTAATGCTCCTTAACCTCCTTCCTGAGGGGAGTGGGGCAAAAAGTGTGTGTGCTGGGTGGGTGGGGTCCTTCATGATGCAGGTGGCCCTCTTCCTGCATCTGGAGGTGTAGATGTCTGTGATGGTGGGGAGACTGATTCCGACAGATTTCTGTGCAGCCTTCACCACTCTCTGCAAAGCTTTTCTTTCTGCAGCTGTGCAGCCTCCATGCCACACATTGATGCTCGAGCACAGGATGCTCTCCACTGCACACCTGTAGAAGGAGGTGAGGACTGAGCTTCCCAGACCAGCTCGCCTCAGCCGTCTGAGGAAGTAGAGTCTCTGATGAGCTTTCTTGATCAGGCTGGTGGTGTTGTTGCTCCAGCTGAGGTTGTCATTCATGTGTACACCCAAGTACTTGTAGCTGGAGACCACTTCCACCGCAGATCCTCTTATGTTCAGGGGGGTGTAGGTGTTTTTGTTCCTTCTGAAGTCCACAATCATCTCCTTTGTCTTCTTCACATTGATGTGAAGATTATTCTCTCTGCACCAGCTCTCCAGGTGTTCCACCTCCTGCCTGTAGCTGGACTCATCATTGTTTGTGATGCATCCCACCACCGCTGTATCATCTGCAAACTTTACAATGTGACAGCCTGGATGGGTAGCTGCACAATCATATGTGAGCAGAGTAAACAGGAGGGGGCTCAACACACATCCCTGAGGAGAGCCAGTGCTGAGGGTTATGGTGGAGGAGGAGAGGTTGTGGATCCTCACTAACTGTGGTCTGTTTGTTAAAAAGTCTAGTACCCAGTTGCAGATGGAGGGGCTTAGTCCTAGTGTGGATAGTTTGTCCATCAGGGTTTGGGGGATCATGGTGTTGAAGGCGGATGTGAAGTCCACAAAGAGCATACGGACGTAAGAGTTTTTCTGCTCCAGGTGGTTGAGTGCAGTGTGGACCACAGAGGAGATTGCATCCTCTGTTGATACTTCCTCAAACTTTAAGTCCGTGAGATATTTTGCTAACAGAGACAAAAGTAAAAATAGGAGTATCTTTTTTTTTTTTTTAGCAGTAAGTGATACTGATCATTTCATGTAATCCTACGATGACGCTGATGGACTGACGTGGACCGTGAATAATTAATTATTTTCAAACTGGCTCCTCTTGAGTCCGTTGGTCTGTTGCATCAAAGCAAAGAGTTCACGCTGCTCCTTTAAACACATTTTTCACCAGTTTGGTTTGAGTGAGCTTGAAATCCTCACCCAAATTATCACCAAAGGTATTTGATTTGATTTTACAAGACACGTCCACTCCACGTAGAACTTCTCAAAGCTTTTAAAGACTAGACGAGCTGAAACATGGCAGAAGACAACCCAGCTGCTGTTTTTGAATTCTGATTGAAGGTTTTTTCTGTAATTGGCTCTTTTTGTTGAGTTTATTGAATGTTAAAGTAAATTCTGTGTTCTGGACGGTGGAAGGCAGAGACCACAAGTCATGTGTGTGTGTGTGTGTGTGTGTTGACAGGGTGCGGCTAGAAGCGTTCTCCGACAACAGCGGGAAGCTGCAGCTCTCCCTGCAGGAGATCATCGAGTGGCTGACGGCCAAGGACGAGGAGCTGTCGGAGCAGCTGCCCATAGGAGGCGACGTGGGGGCGGTCCAGCACCAGAGAGAGTTCCACCAGGTTATTACTCCAACACACACACGCACACGCACACACACACATACAAAGGCTCTGTGTATGACAAACAGAATAAAATATCTGATCCTTTAGGGGGTCAGATTTAAATCGACAAAACACGAGACATGATCAAAGTTTGGATATCCAACTTAAAAAATGCATTCAAAAGACTAATCCTGTTATAAATTAAGTTAAGATTCCAAGTTCTGAAGTATATTTAAATTTCCACACCACATTCCAAACCAAATGGCAGTTTCCAATGACGTGTTTCATATTTTAATCCACTTAACGAAGTTATTGAACTTCTATCAGCAGAGAATTGGATCAATTTGTGTAAAATAGTTCAGAATACAGAAATGTGCTAAAATGAGTAGCCAAGTCACAGTTCTGAAATTTTTATTAACTGATGTGTAGCGCCCGTACAACGTAGCTGAAGAGTTAACCAATAGGTTAGGTTGAAATATAGTACGTTGGTCGAGGCCCTGGGAACGTTATTTTAAAGATAGTTGTGCTAACAGCTTACAGGAGATGCAACTTACTGTTTATATTGTATTTAATTTAATGGCGGTGCCTCCACTTTGTAGGAAAATGTGACTTTACACTTTGTTTAACCCAATGAGAATTTAATTCTGATAAGTGTATGTTTATATTAAATACACTCTCTTATAATACAACCCCCCCACCCCCCACTAAAAGTAACTTTAAAATAAGACACCGATGCCTGATTTAATTTTAAAATACACTTTTAGTAAGAACAATATAGTAAAAACAATATGTAAATAGAATAACTAATTGGTGTCACAAATAAAGAACAAAAACAACTTTTCACAGTACTTTCAGTGCTTTCGATTCAACCCAAATATTTGCAGTCCAAGTATTACCTTAATATTTTGTAAAGGCTTTTAAAACATCAAATTCAACCCCAAAATAACCCGTTGCAGGCCTGAATCGATGCATCTGACTGAGCAAAATAAAATCCAAAGCATGTGCATTGATTTAGTTTTGTACTCACAAATCCTCCGAAGTTTTGAGATTGGATCGGAAAAAGGTAGATGTGGCGATCCCTTTAATATGGCAATGAGTAAAGTAGTCAGGTGATGTCACACAAACACCGAGATCCTTCCTGTCAGCAACCTCACAGATGGGAATCCAACGGCTGAATGAGGAACTTCTACTCGTCCAGCTGGTCCAAAGAATAGCTCCTGGTCCACTGTTCACATTAACAGCTCTGTCCCTTTATATTCCTTAGTAAAACGCACTGCCTTCTCATATGGAGCCATTAAAAGCTCAACCAGCCACTAATGTTTAGATTTACATTTCAGTATACGATAATCTGAGCTACTATAACGTGCTAGCATGCTAAAATGCTAATTACACTTAGCATGGTTTTCAGCTATACACTGCATCATTCTGAAATAGCATAAAAAATACAGACAAAAGTATTTATCTTTCATATGCTTCTTAAAGTCTGTTACAGTCGGAAACTCCGCATTAACCCTTGTAATGGACAGCTTTACTCTGTTATCGCTGTGCGCTCTGCCTCGTCTGGTTTTTCACACCGACTCACATTTCATGCAGCGTACCATAAATCCCGCCCACTGCCATCTGATTGGGCAAAATAAAATGCTTAATCCAATACTGAACAAGACTGACACTTAGCACAACTCAAAGAGTAGGTTGTAATCTGCCACATGGCACTATGTGCTGCACTCCTCGAACAAACTTTTATGTAACATTCAAGGAACATAGTAAAAATTGCCTGTTTCAGTCTGCTTAAACTAGATTTTCTTGACCAAATATGAACTGTTTTTGACCTGTTCATATTTATTCCACTCATCACTTGGACATTGTTTTTAAACTCAAATGATATTAGTTCAGCACTTGAGTTTGATACTATATAGCACAGTTCAAACTAGACTACAGATGTGTTTTAGATTAAGAGTCCGATTAAATAAGGGTCCAACCATTGTGGTTTTATTTATGTATTAATTTGTATTTGTTCTGTTTGAGTTTTGCCTTTTAGCAACATTTTCAGTGATCCTGTTTGTCTTAGGGTTTATGTTACCTGTTCTGCTCGGCAGTTTTGTTTGTTTCCTCTTCATAGTTTCTCTTAGTTTCTGTCTTACCTGTCACACACCTGCTGTTTATCTGTAGTCATCCCAGCTGTACTCACTCACCAATCAACCCACCCAGCACTCCTGTATGATAGTGTTCCCTTTCTTACCTGATTCAGCATACTTAAAAAAAAAAAAACTTCTTAAACTACTTTTAGCTTTTTGTTATTGTTCGGCCTCAAGGCAAATAAAAAGTATTCACCTGCTTGGATGGTTTATGTTGTTTTTGCCTTCATAAATCAACCATGCCCTTTACTTTGTTCAGTGTAGCAGTGAAATTGACATGATTCTGCTTTAAATGGTTGTTGAAACCACGTGCAGGCAGACAATTGGACACTTGCAGGTAAATAAGTAACTTAAGTTTATTTTAATAAACAAAACCAAATGCTGACGGGGCAACAAAACTTACTTTAGGAAATAGACGACGAGAGGGACGGAACACGACGGCCTCCACAGGACAATGCACGGACAAAGGAGGAACACAGAGACGCTGACTTTGACACTGACGAGACAGAATGACAAACACCTGGAGTGATGAAGATTGTAGACGGGGTGAGACCGGAGCTGAACACAACACAGCGCAGGAGAACAAAACACAGAAATCTCCACAGAAATCAAATTTCTACAAAGTGATGCTAATTAATTGAACGTATGAAAAACTGCACAAGCTGTTGCCTGTCTTCTTCATCTGGGAGAGAGGATACTGTTGAAGAAAACTCATTAAATCTTGACTCCAGTATACAGATTAACAGTCTCTGATGAGCGGCACTAAAGGCAGCAAAGGTAGTGAAAGGTTCAGCTGCTCTTCATCCCACATTGGCTGAGTTTGATTGACGCATATCAGCCTGCATGATGAGAGCCTTCACTGCTTTCTTACACAAGCCCAGTATTTTATTTATTTGTTTATTTAGGATTGTGGGATGGGAAAAAGTGGCTAAAGTGCTGTTCGTCATGGTTCGTCTACCCTTGTTAGCTTTACAGCACTGTATCTTTTACCTTTTTTGTAGAATATGTTGAAAAAAGAATAGATTTTGTGCCCAGGATCCTGTGCTGTAATCTGCGCAGCGTTTCGTAGATGGTTTTTGTGGAACGGCTCGGTGTCTTTCTACTTGGTGACAGCTAACACAGTCTTGAAACGATTCATTTCTTTTGGAGACGCAACAGAAAAGTGCACTTTGAGTTTCCAGATAACGAGAGTTTTCTGGCGGCTTTAGCAGATATCACAGTTATTGATCAAGGCTGAGTTTACGGTCCAGTCTCGGTCAATACGAGATAAATGGCTGAAACGTTTTTCTTGATTTCGGTTGTCGCTGATAAAACCGAAGGAGGCTGAGCTCAGTGGGAGGTTGAGAATGCTTTAGCAGTGCAAGTACATTTTAGCAGCACATGAATCAGGTAAACTGCCGCATATTTTTTAACAGAAAAGCACTTTGTAATTGCTCTAACTCATATTTTACCTCATTGCTGTAAATCATTTACATTATTTTGAAGGTGTTGTGTTTAATACACCTTTAACCTTTCCACGCAATGCAATAATTACTTTTCAATTTAAAGTGACAGCTTATTTTGCAGTAGGATTTGTGATAAGGTATGAACAGTTAATGTCTTACCTGTTGTAGATAGATCTTTAAGGAAGTTTTGTTTAGATAAATACTTTAATTCTGACTAGACTTATGAGCAACAGTTAGTCTGAGTGAGGCCAAGACCAAAGTGGATTGCTGTAGTCTTAAAACAATGCTTGCCTTTCAATAAGTTTATAGCATTTCATCCATCCATTATCTTTACCTGCTTCTTCCTTTTCAGCTCACGGGGGTCACTGGTGCCCATATCCAGCTGTCACTGTGTGAGAGGCAGGGACACCCTGGACAGGTCACAAGTCCTTCACAAGGCTTATAGCATTTCATGCAAATCCAGTTTCATGACTTTTAGGTTGCTGTCCATTTCACATTGTATTATTTACTGAGAATTCTGTGGGTAACTTCAAGCTTAAATGGAAGGTGTAGCAGCTAGCTGTAGCACTTTGGGTGTAGCCTGGGGTTAATTCAGCTTGAATATTGTCACTTTTCTGTTAACCAGATTACACACAACCGAGGGCGGTGTAAAAGTTAATAGAAAATTATTCACTCTTGAGTTGGGCAGTGGTTCTGAAATATTCACAGTCTAGTTAAAATGTGCAAATAATAAAGAAATAATGCTACTGCCACAAACATTTCTTTTCTTTTCTTATTTTTTACACCAGTACCTGGTAGTAGTGGCACCCCGATTTGTTTCCTAATGGTGCTTTTTTTTTAGTGAGAGTGCCGTTTTCAACAAAACACCTCTGGACATTAGAAAAAAACAATTATTGATTAATTTTGAAGAGTGTTTTTTTTTTTTTTTTTTTTTTTTTTTTTGCTTTAAATGCATTAATTTACAAATTGCCATTAATTTCTTGAGGGTGGAATTGTTGTAAAATGACAGCAACCACTTTGGCCTTGATTCTTCTTGGACTTGTATTAATTTATCAGTCCAGAAAGAATTAAACTCGGGGTTTTTTTTTGGTATTATTTGTTTAAAACCGAGGCTGTTCTATAAGCTGTCTACAGCATATCATATTCATATGATATTCATATCATATACAGTTATCATAGCATATTCATATCTTTTCCACAGAACCCCACTTCTATAACAAAATTAACTTTACAGCTAAGTTGTTTTTGTTTAACTAGAACCTAGTAAATGTCTAAGGGATCTTTTTTTTTTTTAATTACTTTATTTTACCAGGAAGAAATCCATTGAGATCATTAATCTCTTTTGCAAGGATGTCCTGGATGTCCATTTATAAATAAATGAGGAGGATTACAGGAAATTTATTGCCAAGTTTATCCAATTTTGCATGAACTTATTTAA